GCCAAGATTATATCATCACAGATAGAGCTCAATAAAATTACCTCAGACAGGACAATTCTGCATTAAAAGTATTATTTTCCACAATGGCTCTGGAACATGTCATGCCCAGAGCTTCCAGCTCTTTCCTCAGATGTAAGGAACAAGTCAACAAATGACCAGCATTGTAGTCGATGTGATAGTCATCTGAACAGTCTTCCTAGATTTTAAACAGTTGTGCCTTCAATATGATGCTGTTGTTTAAATACTTCTGTTTGGGGAGGATTTTTTTAAAAAAAAGATCACGACTATTTTGTTTCTTGATCAGATCACACAGGCTCTGCCAGCCACTGCCAGCTCTTTCTCAAGAAGCTAGGAGCCCTCCTGAGCTCAGCTGCCTGGCAAAGCGGCGCTCGGCTGTGTGTGACCAGCATGGCTCACTCCAGCTTTGTTCTGCTCCACTGGATCCTGTGAATGGGTTCTGACAAGTGACCAGATACGGGTTTTGCTCACTCTAAGTGGCCTCTATTTTTAAAAACTAATGGCACAGGGCCAAGGAAGGGAGTGCCTTAAAGGAGTGAACTCTAGCACTGAAGGTTTCCTGAGGAAAAGCAACAATCCATCATACCTTCTACTAGTGAAGTTGAACAAGAAGCAAGAGAAAAAGCGGTGAGAGGCAGGATAGATGTGGCAGAAAATTAAGCTCAGGGAGTGGCAGCTGGGGTGGTGGTTGGGGTACTGGACTCCCGCATGGCTAACTGTGGTTGGAGTCCTAGATCTAGAGGCTTATTTTTTGACTTTCTGCCCTTTTCTCTGGTCTAATTTGAACGTAATAATACATAATTTTTAAGAGAGATTTCTGCTATACAGTGTGCTCACCAAAGAGACAGACAGAAAGCAAGAGACCACCACCACCCCCGGGGAGATGGGATGGCTATGCCACAATCCCTCTTCTCTATTTTCCTCTCTGGGCTTTGGGCATGCATGTACATGTGCCTGGCATGAATTTTTTTTTGAAGATATTTTTGCTATATGGTGCATGTGCTCACTGGAGAGACAGAGAGAAACAGAGAGACAGAAAGCAAGAAATCACTTCCCAGGGGGGATGGCTACACCACAATCCCTCCTCCTCCATTTTTCTCTTGGGATTTTGGGCACACATTCACAGACACCCAGTGTGAGTTTTAAGCCACCAGGTCTAGGACTTGAACCATCATTGACTACATAGGAGTCCAGTGACATAACCATTACACCATCTGCTTTGCTCCAAAATAAATAATTTTCTTTCTCATTTTTTTTTTGGTACCAATTTTAAATAGTTTATTTAAGACACTGCATTTTCCACTTAATATACAGTGCTTATAAAGTGCAATGTTAGGACTAGCAGTTGGCATAATGGTTATGTCACTGGACTCCTATGTAGTAGACCTTGGTTCGATTCCAGGACTAGGTGGCTTAAATTCATGCTGGGCGCGTGTGCATGTGTGCCCAAGATCCCGAGAGGAGAATGGAGGAGAAGGGATTGTGGTGTGGCCATCCGCCCGGGGGGTGATTTCTCGCTTTCTATCTCTTTGTCTCTCTCTCTCTGTCTTTCTGGGGAGCACATGGGCCCTATAGGAAAAACCTCTCCAAAAGAAAAAAAAAAGTGCAATGTTACTTTTCCCTGTGTACATGCTCCCTATTCAAGTATTGAGAATGCCCAGTAATCCACTATGGGAGCTGAACTTTAAGACTGACACAGAATTTGCTACAAATTGGGGTCCTTCAATGTTTTACCGTGTGGAACAATGCTACATAGTCTATACTCAAGTTGGCTTAATCAACGTCTTCAACGGTGGCTTTGAAATAAATAATTTAGGAAAAATGAAAATTAAACTCAGAAGTTGAGAAGGGGTCTGGCCAATTCCAGTTTCTGAGACCTTTGAGAAATGAAAAAAAAGAAGAAATGCCAGACTTGTTTATATATGTTTTTGATCTTTAAAGTTAGGAATTAGAGACCAGGACCTTTCAGTGTGAACTGCCCACACTCCTTTCCTTCAATATGGCAATAACGCTGTACTTTCCTTCACCAAAATAAGTAAAGTTCTCTATGAACATCTTTCTAATCTGTCCTTGTTGATCTCATTTTGAAATTATTTTTTTAAAGAATTATTTTATTCAACTTTATTCATTCATTCATTTATTTTAATTTCACCAGAGAGAGACAGAGAGAGAGAGAGGAAAGTGAGAAAGCAAGCCACCAGGTCCAGGACCTGAACCATGGTTGGCCATGTGGGAGTGTCCAGCGCCTTAACCACCACGCCACCTACAGGTCCCTTGAAATTATTTTTTTAAGTTTATTTCTTTCTCCCACGAGAGCGAGAGAGGCTCCCCAATAGCATTTTCACACAGTACTTCCATACCACCTCAGCTAGTCTGGACCACTAACACCCACATGACCAGTGAAGCCTGTACAGAGTGCCCCTGAACAGAAATGCAGGAACTTTTCCTAGTGGGTCAACTGCATTATCACTGCACCACCACCTGGCCACGTGAAATGATATCAAGAGTCCAGTTTGAAGGACCAGCAGATGGCATAATGGTTACATTGTTGGACTCCTGCCTAGTTGACTGCAGTTCAAATCCCAAACTGGCAACTTAAAACTCCTAACAGGTGCATGTGGGTGCATGCCCAAAATCACAAAGGGAAATCAGGATTGATTGGGGCATGGCCATCCCCTGGGGGGGGGGTTGGGAGGGTGATTTCTCCTGTCTCTCAGGATTGATTGGGGCATGGCCATCCCCTGGGGTAGGGGGGGCGTGATTTCTCCTGTCTCTCTCTTCCTCTCTATCTCTCTGGTAAGCACACATGCCCTATAGCAAAAATATCTTTCAAAAAATAAAAAACCAAAAAGTCCAATTTGAACCTTTGTGACTATGAAGTTCAAGCTAAGCAGTCCTACTAGCCACTCCACCCTCTGGTACCTTTACCCAAAAGGCCTCAGTGGTATGGGAGTAAAAATCAAGAAAAGGAGTATTAAAAGAGAGGTACTGAGAAGGCACAGAAACAAAAGAAAAAAGACAGGAACTGAAGACCTGAAAGGCTGCTCATAGTGGTGTCAAGTGCACTGTCAATGCCTGATCACCTTCCGCAGCACTGGCCTTGAGGGGAATCTATTGTACAGGGCTTCTTTGCTTAGTAAAAGGAACCTGCAATCATCCATTAAGTGCAGGAGGCACCCTGCTGGAGGCTGAGAAAGGAGTCAGGACAAAAAGAGTAAGATGTCTGCAAGACCATTGAAATACCTTCTTTGCACTCACTCCACAGCAAACAAGGAGATAAACAGGTTCCAAACAATTTTCAATCCTGATGAAATCACTTCAATGGCAAGGAATCAGCTCATTCACAGGTGCTTGGTCTCTGTAGTTAAGTGCTACCCTCTGGTTTCAACCACAGTAGTAGTGCCAGGTGATGTTAACCTTCTTAGCAGACACAGGAATAGACCACCATTCACTTCTTCAGAAACTTTCAAGGTATTGACACTAGCAAGGAGCTCACTATCTTGAGGCAAGAAGGAAAGTACCACCTACGCCCAATCTTGAAGGAGGCATTCTCCCTCCACCCCAAGAGTGCCCCAATAGAGCACTTAGCATAGCAGGAGACATGGGTCTGTCCTTCCACGCTCTTTTTTATCCGGTAGTCTTTTTCTCTTTTTTCAATCCTTCAAACATAACACCTGTAGTAATTTTGAAAATAAAACCTTCCCCCTTCCCGGGTTGGCAAATGATTAGGGGTGCTAGACTCTCACATGGCTAACGTTGGTTCGAGTCCCGGCTCTGGCAGCTCTCTCTCTTTCTGTCCCTCTCTGGTCAAATTAAAATAAATGAATAGGGAACCAGCAGTTAGCGTAATGGCTATGTTGCTGGACTCCCACATAGTCGACCGCGGTTCGCGTCCTGGACCCGGTGGCTTAGAACTCATGCTGGGCGCGTGTGCGTCCGTGCCCAAGATCCCGAGAGGAGAATGGAGGAGAAGGGATTGCAGCGTGACCATCTCCCCTGGGGGGTGATTTCTCGCTTTCTGTCTCTATGTCTCTGTCTGTCTGGCGAGTGCACGCCCCCTATAGTGAAAATCTCTCAAAAAAAAAAAAAAGAATAAATAAGTTCTTTTAAGAACAAAACTTCATTTCCGCAGGAATGTTTGGTGACTTATGTTTCTGAGGTACCTCACAGCACGGCTGCAGGGTAGTTCTGCAGTAACTTTCCACCATTTTCACAAAGGGCCTGTAACACCAGCCTTGAAAAGTGCTCCACGTGCGTCAACACTTTACAAATCCACCCACAGGCTCAGGCCCTGAGAGACCCCGCGGCACAGCAGGTCCGGCCCGGCGTTGGGAAGTGAGTTAAGGTCTGGGCGGGGACCAGGGGTGCAGGGCGGCGGCCCCCCGCGCAGGACCGGAAGCGCGGCGCGGGCCTGAGGGGCGCGGGCGCGCGCGTGCGCGGCG